GAATATTTAGTTGACGAAACTAAAAGCGTTACAAAATCTCCCAAAGAATGGCACTAAATTTGAGAAAATTGTATTTTTCTCTACGACATGACGAAATGAGTTTTTATCAACTCAAAAATTGCACTTCATACGCAAGGGTAGATAAAGTAAAAGTTTACTGCAAGACTAGAGCAAGAAGAGATAAGTTCTTCAATTTTTTATTCTTTGTGAAATTACAACTCGTACAGTGAAACAAGTATTCTTCAACTAAATCATATTCTATAAATACATTTTTTTCAAAACCCTAGCCACCTGGGGAGTATCATGGCTATTCGCAGTTCATCAGCCATGAAACGTTGCAGAATCATCCCAGCTTCAACTAGATACATTCTCTCGAGAAAAGTATCTGGTCGAGGTTGGGATCGAGCTTACGACCTTTCGGTGAGTCGGGCGCACTACCACTGATGCGCACTCGAAATTTCGAGTTTGAAGTCGTAATTTCGAAATTACGAGATAAAGGTCGAAATTTCGAGATTAAAGTCGAAATTCCGAAATTAAAGTCGAAATTTCTAGTTTGAAGTCGTAATTTCGAAATCAAGAGATTAAAGTCGAAATTTTGAGATAAAAGTCGGAATTTCAAAATTCAAAGTCGTAATTTCCAAGAAAAAACTAATTAAAATATATGGCCCTTCTGCGCTTCCGTAGTAGACAGAAGTCAATTCAGTCAATGACGAGTCATCCTGATTTCGTCCAGGTTTGGAGACCAGCTCCCCTACCCTTTTGGCTGATTATTGGCCTTGAGAGGGGCCAATGTCAATTAGTCAATTAGAGAAGTTCCTAAATATAATGACGGACCTGTTGTTAGTAACGTCATAATATGGCCTGGCCATTGAAGAGAGAACAGTGACTCCGACAACTAATGAAGATGAAGAGATCCAGGTTTGGCATTACGTCACATATACACTCAAACGTCAAATTCGACGTCATGATATTTTACTTGTTGAATACTTTCATTGTAAAAATTTTGTGATTTTGATTTATTTGTAACAGAGTTTTGTTCGAGTATATATAGACTCATTGATTGAGGTGATTTTTCAGTTATTATATGGATTGTTTGGGTTATAAAGTTTTGAATAAACTATGCATATCGAGTGTTTGTGTATCATCAATTCAAATAACATTTCTTATTATTTTCTTTCAGAATGGTTCAAAAAAGTCTAAGTCGTTCCTTTTTGAAAACAAAAATAGCAGTTATTAGTAATAGTAGTAGTAATAGTAACTAATATTAGTTATTCACTACCGACAAATTTCATTACTTTGTTCACTTTCAAACCTGTATGAAAAAGTGGTGGCTACTAAAATTGTGAATTACTTAAAGTCGAATAGTATACTATGTAATAATCAACATGATGTGGAATACAAATAGGAGGAATATAAATAACCTAACATTCTGACATTTAGTTCTTAAAAAAATTAATTTACATCACTGCTGAGTTATATTGGCATCAGCGTGACCACATAATATTTGAGAAATCTACCTAGGCCATTGTCTAAGGATTTAATCCTTAGGGTGTCATTGAAAATCTACTGAAATTACTGCAATATATTTGAAGAGCACAAAATCAGTCTAAAGGGTAAGGGAGCCAAGGTTCCAACCTGTTTGAAATCAAGACGACGTGCAGGTGAAGAGCACAAACTTACCAACATAGTAAAATTTGAGTTTTCGACCACTAGGTGGCGCTTGTAAAGACATTTGTATATCATCACTGAATCGAGAAGGCCTTGGCCTTCTTATGGTTGTAGTTGTAAATATTTAATAACAGACATGTTTCCAGGTTCGAAATGAAACTTTCAAAGTTTGAGAACAAAAAGTGAAACAAGGTTATGTATCATTATCTTCTTCTTCTTCCTTTAATTGGACGTCGGAGAATTCAGAAAACAGTAACAAGCAATCGGTAAATGGATGTTTTATGATCTATATGTATTCTGTGTTCTGTGTATAGCAAATCGAAGCATGCAGAACCTAGATACAATGAATTCAAGTAATTTGCTGTCACCACTAACATTGAAATGAAAATTCTATCGCCAAGGTGTCTTATCATAATCTACCGACGGAAATTCATCTACTGCAAATTTCAAATTTGTGTAGAAAATCTATCGAAAAAGTGGAAATCTAACGCATGTGGTCACCCCGATTGGCAATCTGTTTCATATCTGTTAAGTTCATAACTATATGTCATTGAAAGGTTTGACCAAAAGGGTTTACTTATGACGTCATTGGAAATGCTTTCTTTCCAAACAAAACGTCTGTAACGTCAATGCCCATGACGTCATGGGACAGAAATAAAACTGACTAGATGACAAGTTGACATCAATTTGAAAGGTTACTTTTCATAAATTATTTGGTTTAACGATATTTCAGGAAATAAATATTGTACACACAATTGTAAATAACCACAACTAATCAATTACCATTATGTTTTTTGAGCTAATCATCTAACTGGTAGGAGGATAATAATGTTATATGGAATAGAAGCTTGGATAAGAACTGTCATTCACCAAATATTTTATCAAAGGAAAAATAATAAGACCACCTATGTCCGCCAACTAGCTGTGAATTTGTTATCTTCAACTTCAAGTTGTGTTTTACCGCTCCTACTTCTTATGGGGTAACTTGTGTTGTTGACGATTGAGTAAGTCGAAGGGCCTTAATTTCGCGAACTATCTAACTGTAGGTTACAAGAATAAAACCTTGTATCACAATCGCTTCTAATGAACTATTTTTTTGATAGATATATTCATTACTCATATCCCGAATAATATGATCACAAATGAAACCATTTTTAGGTTTCTAAGAAATATTGATATTAAAAATTTGTGAAATTTCAAGGTTGATTCCTTATTCAACTAATTCTCATTCAGTTGTGCTTAGAATGATATTCATTTTATTATTGAAATGCTCATAAAACTTTTTTAAATAATATTGTAAAATATTTTTGGGAAAGAAATGTTTTTGGCTTCCTACTTCTTCATCATCATACAAAAAAATGTGGGAATCTTACAAAGAAATGAAGAAAGCAATCAATTTCAAAATTAACTAAACAGAAAGCTATGTAGATCATGCAGAGAAATAACTTTCAGGCACAAATTAAGAAAAAGGGAGCCCTCACATCTTATTTGATACGTTCACTTGAAACTTGCAGGCCTGTTAATGATGGGCATTTACTTCACAAAAAGAAACCCCAAAATAGCACATGTCATCCACGTACCTTCTTTGTGAGCGGCCGTTATCGGCACATCCGTCCACTACCACTGCCGTAACAGAACTCAAAAAGCGTTGAGTCGAAACAACTATACTTCTGTTTAAACATTGAGTTACACGGAAGAAAAATACTTTCGAAACAACTACTTCCACATGAACATTGAATTCTACAAAAAACACTTTTTCCTATTCAGTTTGCACTCCAAACATTCGTTATAAAATTGAATCAGAAATCATTGGTTGGTCGGTAGCCAATTGATTGCCGTGTTGGTCGGTGGTTCAAGCCTCAGTCTGAACGATCGATCTTCACTTGCTATCGTCCAACCCGTGTTAGGAATCACACGTTAAAAGGTAAGACCTCGGTAATCCTTAGCTCGCACAAAAGGGAGCCCTCTCATCTTATTTGATACGTTCACTTTAAACTTAAAGGCCTGTTAATGACGGGCATTTACTACACAAAAAGGAACCCCAAAATAGCACATGTCATCCTTCTTTGTGAGCGGCCGTTATCGGCACATCCGTCCACTACCACTGCCATAACAGAACTCAAAAAGCGTTGAGTCAAAACAACTATACTTCTATATAAACATTGAGTTACACGAAAGAAAAATACTTTCGAAACAACTACTTTCACATGAACATTGAATTCTACAAAAAAACACTTTTTCCTATTCAGTTTGCACTCCAAACATTCGTTATAAAATTGAATCAGAAATCATTGGTCGGTCGGTAGCCAATTGATTGCCGTGTTGGTCGGTGGTTCAAGCCCTAGTCTGAACGATCGATCTTCACTTGCTATCGTCCAACCCGTATTAGGAATTACACGTTAAAAGGTAAGACCTCGTTAATCCTTAGCTCGCACAAGTTTCGACTTCTGAGGGTTGTCGTTCGTAGGGGTGCGACAACTGGTTAACGGAAAAACCGATTTTAAACAGATTTTTTTTAAACAGATCAGAAATCATTTTATTGACATGGAACACTGTCATCCTCAATGGCGGACATTCAATGTTTCGGAATGAGACACATTTGCCTTTTTGCTACTCAAGCACCATTACGAAATCAAGCACTTAATTCATTCATAAAATTACAACTCCATTTCACATGTGTTTAATCTATTATGTCATCAATGGCAGTACGTAATGACATTCATTCGCTTTGTTGATTTGATCCGAGCCATAGTAATCTTATTCAATTGAGGTATATTTTTTATCTCTCCTGAAAATATTATCCTCTCAATTTACTGCAAATATCCTTCTGTTTTCTCAATGTCTGACAGTGTATGACATTAACGAACAATTTTTTGGGATTCTGTAACAATTAGGAATCAGCGGTGGACTTTTTATAATAACGCTATAACAATGAAAGCATTTTTTAACTCTGAATTGGTAGACAAACTGAAAGTTTTAAACCCAATATTGTTAATCATTTGATGGAGATACCCATTTCAGTTCAATAGGGAAGTCAATTTATAGAAGTTGAAAATACATTAAATGCATCGAATTATGGTTGAGGTTATATAAGTAACTGGTTAATTTTCAACATTTGAAAGTAATTTTCCATGATGGTACAACATTTCAATTCTTTGTTATATCAGTCCTGAATGAATCGTCAATACCAAAAAGAATTATGTCAATACGAATACGAATAAAATGATTTACTTTGCTTTATTTCACTGTTCTACGAAGAGTCTCTTTGTTCCGTGCTTATGTCATATGTCATCGGAATATAGTCCATTTCAAATTGTTCTGACGAAAGAGGTGAGTATAAATATGTTTTGTTGCTATTATCAAAGTTTTTAAAATTACTTGTTGATTAGATCTTGCTGCTAATATATAAAATGGCGTCTTAATAGTTTTCTATCCCAAAGCACATCCACTGGCTATTATTTTATCTTGATTTAAATTTTTGCAAACTCAAAATGGAAGCATTGAGAATGGAATATGTTTTGATTCCATTCATAACTGTAACTTTTACGGCCGTAGTTATTCTGTTTATAATATTTTGTAATACTGCAAATCTGTATAATTTCAAAGGAGTTGATTAAAATTCTGTTTCAGGCTGGTTCCTAGTGTGGAAATTCATATTGACCAGATTCAAGTTAGTCAGAGAACTTATAGGTGAGGCTAATGACCCGGAGGTAAACAATCTAAAAGCAAGTCGTGGTCGAATCAAAAAACCTAGAAGATACTAGGAATCTATTTCAAGATGAATATACGCTGTGCAAAACCTGAAGATCTCATGAACATGCAGCACTGTAATTTACTGTGCTTACCAGAAAATTATCAGATGAAATATTACTTTTATCACGGACTCAGTTGGCCCCAACTGAGCTATGTAGCAGAAGATGAAAAAGGCAATATTGTTGGATATGTTCTCGCCAAAATGGAAGAGGATCAAGAAGACCTGAAGCATGGACACATAACCTCTTTGGCAGTAAAAAGATCTCATCGCCGACTGGGTTTAGCACAAAAACTTATGGACCAGGCCTCGGAAGCTATGGTAGAATGTTTTGATGCAAAATATGTCTCCTTGCATGTGAGGAAGAGTAACCGAGCTGCCTTGAATTTGTATAAAAATTCTTTGAAATTTGAAACTGTGGAAATAGAACCCAAGTATTATGCTGATGGTGAAGATGCCTATTCCATGAGAAGGGACCTTTCAGAGTTCTCAAGGAAAAACAAATTGAAGTCTGATGAGAAGAGTGAGGAATAGATCATATTCAAAATTATATTGAATGGTAAATCATTTTAAACATGAAATTTCATGCTACTCTTGCTTCAGATGGTAGTAGTACTGTTAGTAGTACTTGTAAAAAATATTAAAATCAGTATGTAAATAAGGTTTCATCAGTGAAATTGTTTTTTATTTTGAGATTTTTTGTTGGTTTTGTTTAGTTATTACATCTTGTGAATTTTTCTTAATAAAATTACATGAGTCGGTCTAGAATTTCCTATTTTGATTGTGGATAAAATGGCTATGAAGTAAAAGCAAACTGGATATTTATTTTGTTCTTGTTATAACAATGAAGATAAATAGATAGATCTTTATTTGACTACGATATTTTACATTTGTAGCAGGTTCGTTTCAACATGTTCAGTAAGTACCTACTGGTACTTATGCTTATATTACTTACCCAGATTTAGTATAAAGTTTGTGAAAACAGTTAACGTTCTCAAGTTTCATAATTCCCAATTTAAAATTTCACAAATATAAAATTCACAGCTTAAAATACACATTTAATTCACAATTTAAAGTTCACAATTAATATTAACAGATAAAAGTATCACTTAATTCAATTTCAACTAGTGTTTGGTAGATGTAAATACATGGTATTTACATTTGCTGACAATTTTCACGGTAGCCGCTTCCATCCATTATACTGATTGCCTTTTCTGTTGCTAGAAAACTCTAGTCGCATGTGATGAGTTTCCCCAGAGAACAGTGCCATAGTTCAGATGCGAGTGAAATAATGAGTGATATGATGTTAACATACTGGTGGGGCTAAGTATATTTTTTAAATGTCTCAGTAAAAATAATTGTGAAGACAGTTTTTTACACAACTAGTCAACATGTGCATGAGTTTTTCATCAAGAACTACTCCCAAAAGATTCAGAAGAAATCCTATTGTGAGTGGAGATGGTAACATTCTGCGTCTTTGCCTGATTCAATTTAAGGTCATTCATAAAGAACCACAGGTGTACCTTTTCTAGTGCATAATCTGTGAGATTATTCAGAGTTATGTTTATCTTTATGACAATTCAGTAGTGTGTCATCCGCATAACATACACATCCTGTGGGATATATGAAATGAAAGATGTCATTTAAATATATTGGAAAGATTAGAGGCCCTAGCACACTTCTCTGGGGGAATCCATGGGTAATATATTAGTATTAAAGACTACAAATTGAGTCCTGTTGGATAAGTATGATTCAATTAATTTAAGTGGACTACCTCGTACATCATAAAAATTCAATTTATCTCGGAGTTTATTGTGTGAGACGCAGTCGAAGGCTTTGGAAAGGTTATTTTATTTGGATAACATAAGATATTTCGGAAGTGTATAATGTGTAGACTAAAATATTTTTGTTTAGATAGATCGAAAATCTCATAATTGTTTTTCTGTGCTAATTAATATAAGTAATATTGTTGATTGTGATTATGACAAAGATCTTGGCAACAAAGCTATTTGGATTTCTACTTCTCCATCTTTATCTAAGAAAATGTGGACAATGTCTGAGGGAAGGAAAAAATCAATTGAGTTAAAAATAACCTTTTCACAAAGATGTGTAGATCATTCATGAGAATTACTTTCAGATACAATCTGGAAGAAAAAGCAACTACTTTAATATGATCATGTTCAGTTTGAAACAGATATCATTCATAGGAATGCTACAGAATATAATATATGAAAGACTTACTAAGTGAAATTTCACATACATGGAACATTATCATCTTTAATAGATAGCATACTTCAGAGTTTCAAAATAAAACTCATTAACTCATTATTTTATGTTTGAGAAAGCTATTGTACAGCCAAACACGTGTTGCAGTTTTTGTAAAACCTTTTCTGGTGAAAATCATACAATAAACTGTATTGATGAGTTTAATTATAGATTTTCATCAAGTATCGGCCAGTTCGATTTGAATTTCAAAATGAAGATGCCTGTCTCATCACCTCATTTCAAGATACATTCATTTCATTTAAGTCACTTCACTGGATTTAATCCCAGCCATGGGAATTTTATTTTTGGAAATAAAGCTTTTTGGCCTTCTACTTCTCCATCTCAATATAATAAATATGGGAAACTTCTAATGGAAGGAAGGAAATACTTGAGTTCAAAATAAAATTTTTACGAAGTTGTATAGATCATGCATAAAAGTTATTTTCAGATCCAAATAAGCCCTCCCAAAGCAACAACATGAACACTGAACTACACAAATGCAAAATGTTTGGGAAAGAAAAGTTTTGGCTTTCAACTTCTCCATCTTCATACAAAAAGTGTGGGAAACTTGCAAAGAAAGGGAAACAGTAATCAATTTCAAAATAAACACTACAATGATGAATAGATAATGCAAAGAAGTAACTTTTAGGCACAAACTGGAAGAAATAACCCTCTTGAAACACGATAGGTATATAATTTTATATAAACACTGAATTTTGCAAAAAAAAACACTTCTCTATTCAGGTTGTATTTCAAACATTCGTTATGGAATTGAATCAGATATCATTCACAGGATTGATTACTAAACAATACATTATTTAACTTACATGGAACAATTTCATCCTCAATAGCGGATATCAATGTTTCTGAATAAGATTCATACAAAGAGGTAACTTAAAGACACAAACTGGAAGAAATAGCCCTCTCGAAAAAACTACTTCCATATAAACATTGAATTACACGAAAGGAAAAGTACTTTCAAATGTCATCAATAACATGGGTAGATTCAACTCATAAAGTACTTTCCAAATAACTATTTGCATATGAACATTGAATTAATTAATGCCAGTTTTTCTTATTCAATTTGTACTCTGAACATTCATTATGGAATGACAGATATAATTTATATGAAAGCTTTTTTCTCAAAAGCTAATCTTTCCTGAAAAATATAATCTTTTGAATTTAGACAAAGATTTTTTTGATAAAAAGAAAATCACTGATTAAGGAATGAGTTTCATTTAGGAACCAACTAAGATCAGGTGAAAGGTCAACTATATAAAAGTGAATGAAATCATCAGTTTAAAGTTGATTAAATATTTCCTTAGTATGTTAACTTTGTTGACCAAATATGTAATAAGGATAGTTTTTTCTACTACTTTTTCTCAATTTTGAGGGAGGAATCTTTCTCAAGTTCATTCATATCACTTGTACGCTTGTTTCAGTTTGTCTCACGAATAACTCGTGAAGTCAGCAGTTCAGACTGAAACGGTTTGTAATTTTTCAGACGATAAAAGAAAGATATTTTCAAGTAGATTGAACCATTGCAGTGGTTCACTTTGAAGAAAACTAAGATGAAAAGAAAGAAACATTTTATTATTGTAGAATTTGGTTTGACAGACCATTTTAAATAAATAGTTACAATATTTTTTTCACTCAAATTCAAAACTGACGAATTTCAATACAATCTTTAAACCCCTACTTTTCCCCCTTGGGGGTAGAAATTCCCGATTCCCTTACTCGATGTTCATTTACGCTATACAAAGAACCTACCTGCATATTTAAAGATTCTAGGTTCAGTAGCTTCGTTTGTACGTTAATATGAGAGTGTCAGTCAATGAACAGGTATCCACTTGTACAATATTGAATAGCATCAGTAAAAAATAACTGAAAGGATTAAAATGAAATAAATTGGTAATCGTACTCCTACTAATATTATCAATGCTTAAAGTTTGTACAATTATGTATTTACGTTTTTTTTCCTGTTCACGCCTAAACAGCTCAACAGTTTCAAATTAAGTTGGTATATAGATCAATCATGACCTGGAATAACACATAGGGTAGGTTCCCACGGTAACGCGGGTAAAACAGCGGGGAACAGCTAGTATTGTATTAGTGGGTACCTATTGCTTGACTGACACGCTTGTATAAACGTACAGCATAAGCTACTGAACTTAGAATCTTGAAATATGCAAGAAGGTTTTTTTATAGCGTGAATAGTATCAAGAAAGGAATTCAGGAAATCCCACCCCCAAAGGGGAAAAATAGGAGTTCAAAGATTGTATTGAATTTCGTCAGTTTTGAAGTTGGAAACTTGAAATTTTGGGTTAATAAAAAAATATTGTAACTTTTTGTTTAAAATGGTCTGTTACGAAACTTAATAATAATAATGGTATTTATTGATGAAATAGAGTATAACATCCAAGAGGCGAAGTTCAAAACTGCAGTGTGACAAACCAAATTCTACGCGGGCGAAGCTGCGGACAACAGCTGCTTATCTTACAGTAGACGCGACGCGTAATGGCTTACTGCGTTGCGTCCATCTAATCTTATCGTGATAACTCTGAAACTACTTAGTGTAAAAGACAAAGTTTATCTATATTAAATACTTAAACGGCAGTTGTATCAATTTTCATAAGAATTTGACAGGTATTCTAAAATGTGCACTGCAAAAAAAATATTTAATTTAATTGTATATATGGCTCAGTATTTTGCTACCACACAAGACGTAGATATTGTGTTATTGAACATATATATGGACAGGATGGCTAGGGCTAGGATGTGGAATCATACACGATCTGGGCTTGACTGGTTTAATCGGTGACCCCCGAGACAGATGACAGTTGGCACTTAGGCATTTT